AGGCTGATGGTCCTCTTCTCGTAGGTCTGGCCGTAGTCCACCAGGCTCACCAGGTCCGGGTGGTCTTTCTCCATCTGGACCATCCAGGCGCTGATCTGAAAAAAGGGGAGGGAGGTCTAAGAAACGGGACCCGGTCCGGGTTCTGGAGCCGAACCGGTCCGGGCCCCCACCTCCTCCATGGGATGGTATCTGTCGTAGTCGTACTCCACCCTGAAGCACAGAGAAGAGACCCAGACTCAGAACTTTTTTAATTAAATATGAAAAAAACACTCGATTTAACACACAAATTACAACAGTTTCTGCCTCTTTTTGAGGTCTGAAAGCTGTTTTCTTCAGAAGAGATTAAATAGTGTTTCATTTCCCCTATTTTTCTGATAAAAAAATAATAACTGAATAAAACTATTTTTATTGATAATTTCTTTATCAGCACAAACGTCGACTTTTTTAATCAAGTATCGGCAAATCCATCGATTTAACACACAAATTACAACAATTTTCTGCTTCTTTTTGAGGCCTGAAAGCTGTTTTCTTCAGAAGAGATTCAGTAATGTGTCATTCCCCCAGTTTTATTGTTATAAAACCAATAAATCAATAAAACAATTTTATTGATTATCTCTTTATCAGCACAAACGTCGACTTTTTTAATCAAATATTGGCAAATCCATCGATTTAACACACAAATTACAACAAGTTTCTGCTTCTTTTTTAAGCCTTAAATCAGTTTTCTTCAGAAGAGATTCAGTAATGTGTCATTTTCCATCATTTTTCTGCTATAAAACTAATAAATCAATAAAACCCTTTTAAAATAATTTTTATCGATTATCTCTTTATCAGCACAAATGTCGACTTTTTTAATCAAATATCCGTAAAACACTTGATTTAGCACACAAACTTTGCTTCTTCTTGAAGCCTGAAAGCTGTTTTCTTCAGAAGAGATTCAATAATGTGTCATTTCCCCTAATTTTCTGCTAAAAACCCCTTTAAATCTGGCAGCAAAGGCCTTAACTGGGTGAATCTCACCTCTCCAGCCGGGCGGCCCCCAGCGTTAGCGTTAGCATTAGCGCCACAAAACCGAGCCCCTCTCCGCGCAGCATGCTAGCCCTCGGAGCAGAAACCATCTGAGAGGTCTATCTAAGGCCTCTCCAGTATCTAAGGCCTCTCCAGTCAAAGGTTCACCGGCTTTTATTGGTCTAAAGTCTGCCGACACGCGTCTTAAATTGTAAACAAAGCCATAAAGTGAAGTGTTGTTAGCTCAGATGCTCTGATGTGAGTCTTATCTGGCTTCGCTTTTCCAGCTAAACAGCCAAAACGAATCCGAAAAACCAAATTATCTCATAATCAGGAGGACTTTCAGTCCAAACAGGGAATTCCCGTCTTTGTTTGTGAGCAGAAAAAGCCTCTCTGAGCAGGACGAACTCATTAGGGGGAAGACCAGAGGGTTATCAGTAGCCGAGGCCCCGACCAAAGGTCAGAGGTCAATGGACATCATGGCCGACAGCAGCCACCCTCTGCACACCGTCATCAGCAGCCAGAGGAGCTGGTCAGGGACAGACTGCTGCTGCCCAAGTGCCCATAGACCAATAGACTTAAGAACTCTTTTGTCCCCCACGCCATCAGACTGTAAACGCCTCACTGGGGGCGAGGAGGTGACACAGGACAGGGGGAAGAGAGATCACATACACATACACTGTACTTAATCTGTATTTTTTAGATTTTTATTTATTTATTTGTATTTGTTTTGCTTAATTTAATTCTAACTTGATACTTTCTGCCCTTTAAGCTGCTGGTAACCTTAATTTCCTGAGGGAGTCCTCCCAAGGGATCAATAAAGTACTGTCTAAGTCTAAGTCTAAGTCTAAGTCTAAGTCTAAGTCTAAGTCTAAGTCTTAGTCTAAGTCTAAGTCTAAGTCTAAGTCTAAGTCTTAGTCTAAGTCTAAGTCTAAGTCTAAGTCTTAGTCTAAGTCTAAGTCTAAGTCTTAGTCTTAGTCTAAGTCTAAGTCTAAGTCTTAGTCTAAGTCTAAGTCTAAGTCTAAGTCTAAGTCTCTGTGGTCAACCACAGAGTACAGGTTAAAACATCTGATATCCCAACTGGGTTCAGTCAGTATAAACCAAAGGTCTCCAACCAAACACAACTAATATCAAATCCACAGAGGGACAGAGCCCCACCAGCTGGAGAATCTGAGGTCTGTTTGACCAGTTTGACCAGTATGAGCTAAACCAGTTTGACCAGTGTGAGCTAAACCGGTTTGACCAGTTTGACATGTATGAGCTAAACCAGTTTGACCAGTTTGACATGTATGAGCTAAACCAGTTTGACCAGTTTAAGCCGATTTGACCAGTATGACCTTAATCGGTTTGACCAGTTTGACCAGTATGAGCCAAACCGGTTTGACCAGTATGAGCCAAACAGTTTTGACCAGTATGAGCTAAATCGGTTTGACCAGTTTGACCAGTTTGACCAGTATGAGCTAAACCAGTTTGACCAGTTTAAGCCGATTTGACCGGTATGACCTTAACCGGTTTGACCAGTTTGACCAGTATGAGCTAAATCGGTGAACTGACCAGATAAGAGACGTTTTTCTATTTGGGACCAAAACAAATTCCCCAAAAGGGAAAATAAAGGATATTTTTACATCATAAGAATCTGAACTTCAAATGATTTATTTATTTAGAGAGACACTTTAGTTCTTATACAAGACTGTTAATTAAAGTGGAATAAAAATGGTTTAAAAACCCATCAGATGAGTGTTTTTGGGAGGTTGTCCCAGACGAAGGAGGGCAAAAGAAAACAGGCTTAAAGGTGTTTTGATTTGATAAAAAATTCTAAATAAAGAGCTTTTTATTGGCTCAATATTTGTGGTTGGATATAAGAGGTTATTTTTTCCTGTTATGGCCCCTCAAACGGACAGAGGACAGATGAGAGACGGACCCGTTTGGGGGCTAAAATAATTCTCCCGGCCGTAATAAAGTGGTTTTCTGCTACTGGGAACAGGAAATCAGATCAGTGTGAATTCATTTCTGCTTTTCTTTCTGAGCTTTGGAGCCGTGATGCGTTCAGGGACCTGAAATCGGATCAGGAGGCGTTCTGTGTCCGGTCTAAAGCGGTTTCCACACCTGAAGTCCCTCCAGGAGCAGATTAACCCCGTTAGAGATTCTTTATATCTGATTAAACCAAACTCCCCCATATCCAAGTCGGCCATTTTGATTAGGTCACCAACAGGAAGATCCCAGGCAAGAAAATCCTACAGTAATTGCTTCATGGCAATATAGACATTCTTTTAAAAATAGTGAAATGAATCTTGCAAACACTGAATTGAACTCTTTCCATAATATTATGTTAAAATAGTGGATGTTAAATAGGTATGTACAATAAGTCCAAACAAGTTTAACCACAAAATATTTATTTCTCACAATTATGAAGGGTTAGGGTTAGAGTCAGATTATAGTAAAAACCCATAAAAGTGTATAAACCTCATTAATTTCCATTAGACCTGCAATACCCCCATTTCCCCAACAGATGGCGCACTATACCTGTGTTGGAGTTTAACTTGCCATAAAATGAACAAACCAAAGAAAAGAGGAGTGTACACTTAGGGCCGAGTCTTTAAATAGGAGAATAAAAAAAATAAAAAAAAATAAAATATGTTTTCACTGAAGTCCGATCACCTCATTTAAGGAGATTTTCTAGTTTCTGCTGTCTAAGGACTATCCATCCAGGATTTTAAAACTATTTGAAATGAATGAGTATTTTGTTGGGTGATATGTTCTGAACGGTGGAAGTGATTCCATGAGGGGGGGGAACCCCAGGTGTAAACAATAGGTAATCAAGACATGACCAGACATCAGACTAAATGTTTCTTTACTGGGACCAGCAGCCAATCAGAGGACAAACCAGTGGAAGTTTAGCTTATTTGACCAAGTTAGAGGGTTTAAACAGGCGATTTGGGGCATATACGGGGTCTTTTGGGGTCTTTTCCTGCTTTTTTTTAGGCCTTTTCAGGTAGAAAAACCTCCCTAAATGTCCTGGGGGGTCATTTTGCTCACAGACCTGCTCAGATCCAGATGTTCCAGCGGTTTTCACACCTGTTGAAGGGGTCTTTCTAACTCATCAGAACATCTTTCCCTTTTTTAAAAGCTGAAAACTGGGTCCTAAACTCCTAAACTGGTTTTTATTTATAGGCATCCAATCCCGTTTAGGCGTCATCGACTCCCACGCGCGCGCGCAGCGAGGTGAATTCTGGGGTCGACCCCCCCCCCAACCTGTCATTGTTCAGAGGAGCACGCACGCACGCACGCACGCGCTTCCGCGCACGGCTGTGCATGACGACGGTCGTGTTTTTGAATGAGGAAAAGAGGAGGAGGAAAAAGGAGGAGACAGGGGGCGTGCGCGTGAGGACGTGCGTGCGTGCGTGCGCGCGCGTTGCTCGGTTGCCTTAGCAGCAGTCCTCATTCCTGCACAGCATCCTCCGGCCACGTGCACGCGCCCTTCCGCCGTCGTGCACGCGCACGCTGCTGGAGGTTTTTCCTCTCACTTTGAGCCTTTTTCCTCTGAGTTCCGGAGCCCGTTTTTTTGGTTTTTTTGGTTTTTTGGGGGGTTTTTTTGGCTGATGGAGCTGCGCGAGGCGCTGAACGGCAGCGCGCGCGGGGGCTGCTGGGACCTCGTCCCGGGGGGGAACCTCAGCCTGGGGGGGGGGGACCCCGACTCCGGATGCCCCAACACCACCACCGGGGCCCCCCCACCGGCCGGAAGACCCAGAGGTAGGAGCGTCCTGACCGGGGACCGGAGCCCGGAGACCCCCTCCACCTCCGGGGTCCTGGTTCCCGGGATCCGGGCATCTATTTATTCTATTCTATATGTACAAAATAACTCATTCAAATTATGATTACTGACACTTAGGGGTTGTCACGATACTAAAATGTTCAACTGGATACCGATACTCAGAAAAATATTCAATACTCGATACCATTTTCGATACCACAAGGATTAAAAAAAGACCCCGAAATTTAAATGAATTTTGACAGGTTAGTGTCTTTGGTTTCAAACTGACCTGTTACTGATGTTATCGTGACTGGTGGCCCGCATTAATAACCCTAACCCTAACCCTAACCCTAATCCTAAACCTAACCCTAACCCTGACCCTAACCCTAACCCTAACCCTAACCCTAACCCTAACCCTCCACCCTTCATAATTGTGAGAACTAGATATTTTTTGGTTAAACTTGTTTGGACTTATTGTACAAACCTATTTAACATACACTATTTTAACAATATTATGTATAGAGTTTAATTCAGTGTTTGAAAGATTAATTTCACAATTTTTAAATGAATCTCTATATTGCCATGAAGCAATTAGGATTTTCTTGCCTGGGATCTTCCTATTGGTGGGTTTCTGTCATTAACTTCAGAGTAGGGTCTGTGAGACAACTGTTGTTGTGATGTGGCGCTATAGAAATTAAACTGAATTGAATTGAATTGATTTTAATTTTGTAATGTCATTGTCTGAACGTGTGTTTGGACTGATTTAGTATTTTGTGATTTTGTGTTGTTTGGTCTTCCTGCCTCAGGACCACAGATGTAAACTAGCAACTATGCTAGAATCTGGCTCATTTACAATCTGTATGAGATTGGTCATTAATGTGCACTGTCCTGATTAAAGAAATGAATAGGCATCTATTCTATTCATATGTCTGATGTACAAAATAACTAATTCAAATTCAGATTACTGACACTGCAGTAGCTATAGAACTCCCTTCATCGAGTAATTGATGAACAAAAATAAGTGCACTTTCTCAGACATGTTGTATAAACTTATTTATCATTTATAGTAACTTATTAGTGGCCTTCTTAAGCTCTGCAGCTCAGGCTTTCTGCTCATTTTGGAGGCATTATCAGACTTGATCATGATCAGATGCTTAAGCATAACTCTGGCTCCATTGTATTACGGCTCAAAAAGAGTCTGTACTTCTAGTTTCTTTACTATTTTCTTCATTCAGAATAGGACTTTTTCTGCAAACACGTTTCTGTTCTGCCTTCAAACTAAGACAATCAGTCAATGACTCTGTACTTCTGGTTTCTTTACTATTTTCTTAATTC